GGCTTCTTTGGAACATTCTTCATTTATTCTGAAGTGACATTTGGATTTTATTGTAATGTGTTCTCTCGTTCACTCTCTCTTGCACAATTTTGCTGGTTCATGCTTTTTATTCAAGGTGATCTGTGGCTCAGTGTTTGTCTGATGATAAATCTGTAATCACTGCACGTGGAGTAAATCAGCCAAGTAAACTTTAGTTTACCTTTGGCTGCAGATGTGTGCAAATGATTCTTGAGCATACAATCCGTGACATTTCAAAAATTCATCCTGAATTTTGCTTAACCCTCACACATATTAACAACGGAACATTAATATGTATTTCATGTGTATCCATGAGTGCTCACTTTGACTCGCACAACTTTATCCCAACCAAACTATTACCAAAAGTGAAAATTGTCAAAAACGTTCCTGCTTTTCACAGCTCCTTATCAGGGACCATGACTTAAATTGCTGTTCGAGGCAACCTGCCCATCACAGTTCGACAGAACACATTTGCGCTTAACCATAATCTCACCCTTCACATCAGGAAAAATTCATGGCGCAGAGGAATGACTTGAACATTTGTTGATCTTGTTGTGTTGTTTTTTTTCTGCTTCCCACAGTGGCCAGATAATTCTCTCCACATCTATGACAAGGGGGAAATTGCAAAAGTCTTTCAATAACACCGCCAGCGATGTGCTTACGTGTGATAAGATGCTTCTCATTTTGATATTCTCGTTGGCTGCAGGGCCCTGCTGCAGATATTCACTGACTTCACAATTTTTCTCAAGCTTTCGTGCAGAAAAGTAACAGAGGAGATTTACCCTGGTATGGGTACCCAAATGCTTGCTGAAAAGGTTTGAGGTTTATTAAGTAAACAGTTGCATCCCGGACGAGCCCCCAATTTGAGACTTAATTTCAAGCACAGTCCTCTTTACTGAATGTAATTTCTGCAAATCTTTCACTGATGTGACATACCAGATTTTACGTGTCAACTGTAGTACACAGTGAGCATTCACGCTGAATTAGGTTCTAATTAGAAGGAAACTGACAAAATGT